CCCATACTGCAGAAAGAACTCTGGATACCCGATTCGCCGTAGCGATTTTCGGTCCTGTGCAAACTGAAGCGAACTGAAATGAACCGGAACTGGTCACTGGACAGATAGAAAAGAGCTACTCGCAGCACCTGAACGACCTGAGTCTTTTCTCGCTGTCACGCCGAAGGACCCGAGGCGACTTAATAGAAGCCTTCTAGGTAGTTGAGGGGTTGTCTGGCATAGAACTAAGCAGCCTCTTCGTTCCTGCTCCAGAGTGCGGCACCAGAGGTCATAGCCTTTATCGGCAAAGAGAGCACTCCAAGTTGGAGTTGATGGTCAGGTTCCTCACAAATCTGGTGGTGCCTTTGTGGAATAGATTGCCGAAGAATGTCATTAGGTGGTCAACATTTGCGGCCTTTAAAAAGACCTTAGATCAGTGCTGTGAAGTGGTTTTCCCGGAGATGGCCATTTCAGAGACGATAAAGGAACAAGGTGAGTTCGTTCCTATGTTTATGTTTTTAATTTTTACATATCTGGTGGATGAGATACTGCACTTAAAAATTCTGCCTTTCGGAAAAAAGCAGAACGAACGTTTTACACGCAAAGTTGGAAGCCAACGAAACTAGCTGGAAACACAATGATCTGAACGCACAATTGGCCTTCAACCACTTCCGTTCAGTGAGAACTGAGCTGAACTGAAATGAACTGAAATTGGGGTTTTGTTTTACTGTGCCAAATAGCATTCACACTAGGCCGCCTTTTTCAATAAAGTTGGTTGTTTCCATTGTTTTTATTTGGTCGCCAATGCGGCGTTTTTTAACACTGCTTACAATAATCTTCGTTGTCATATCACGCGTGTGATGTAATCTCTAACTAATTGTGACGTTTAGCTTGCTGTTTTGTTGGGTACCCTTTTTCATTCTCATAGGAAAGCACGGTTTATAGATTGTAGCTTTCGCATCTAATCCGTGATCCCTGAAGTTACATCACTATATACTGAAATTAGATCTCAAAGTCTGAAAACCTGGTTTACCTGATATCAACTGCACTGTTCTTTTGGTACATGCATGGTTTGAACATGCAAGTTCGGGAAGGAAAAGATATAAATATGGGAGCAGTTGCAATCGCTCTTTCCTGCGGTCGGCAATAAGAATAATATAAGTTACTAAGGAAGAAGAGTAGTGATCCCTCATGATAGATGTCTTTTCAAATAGATACTGCGATTCAATTGCCTTCATTTGAATTACTCAAGCGGTAATTTTATTGCAGCTGTCGCTATATATAGCTATGATATAAGCTATAGCTATAATGTATTATAAACACGTATTTGTGCTTGTGTGTGAGTGTTAATCTCAGACTCAATTATAGGGGTAGATGCTTGCAAGACTAATGACATTGAAATACAGCTAAATGAAAGCAAGGCTTGTGTCTTATGTATATTTAATATATATGCATATATATCTTATTTTATAAACATTTCAGATATCGATAGCGATCTATACATTTTCATTTCTGTTATCCGAGGAACAGTTGCAATAAACTCTTATCGCAACACAAAACATGAAGACCAAGTTAGCGACAATGGTCGTTTTACAGTTTTTGCTTTATTACTTTTAGTTCCCGATATTTACGGTTGAGCCATAATAGAAAATATACTAGTTGATTGTGTCACGTATTTGCACGTTTCCGAAGAGGAATAGGGTTACGATATCTTCCTTTGTTATTTGGTGTTAAGCAAGGTCAAAATTTCCGGGGCTTAATAAGGACGTCTTTTTATGCCAACAAATGATAACCTGGGTTCAAAATTCAGTCTTGGGATTTGACTACGTGCGGAATAGTTTTCAGCTGAACGTATGAAAACCTTGAACCGGAGACGGTCATATAGATCCCTTTAGGCTAGTTGGATGGGAGCCCGAGATCATGGTAACCGGTATTTAAAATCACTAAGTGATACAACTGAGTGTCGCAAACAGCGGCGCTTGTGCATCTGTTCACTATTCTTGCCGCCCCAATCTTTATTAATTCTCAATACCTCACCCAGCTCTCAGCATTCCAATATTCCTGAGTTTTTACCCAATGGGCAACCAAAACTCAGCAACCAACCAAAATAGGCGCACGAAAATGCCTGATTAAGGGCTGTAAATCTTAACCGAAACGAAACGAAACAGTTTTGGTTCATTATTCAAGTTTTCAAGTGAAAGTGTAGTGGGATTTCTCCCGTATTAGTTCTACCAATTTTTGCTCCACTGGGCTAACTAAGTGTTGCTATCTGTCTAATACCACTTCATAGTTTATCTAGTTTCGTCTTGAAGATGCTGTTTACTTCTTTCACCAGGCCCTCTGAAAAAAACTACATCGTTTCATCTGGTGCATACCAGATGGGCAGTTGACCAGTGTAACGTACATTATTTTTTATATCCGTGTTAGCTGTTTTGCACAATCATCCTTTTAAATCAGTTTGGTTGAAGTATTTTCCTTGTGGTCAGTACTGATAGGTTTCATAGTAGGTTACTTAAAATTTGTCCCATGAGTGTTTAAAAGCCAGTCTCTATCATCATCTTCGTGGGTGAATTACAGCTCATATCGGTGAACTTCACTTATTGCTGCAAGGCCAAGCGAACACAAATGTTGGATAGGGAACGGACGTAGCAGAACAGGAAAAGCAACAGAAGAACAACTGTTTGTGATCAGCACAGAAGATGGTCGGATTAATTATATGAATGTTTTTCACCGGCTAAGAAGCGACAACAAAACACCATTTCTGGTGACGCACTGCAACGTCCTACAGAATAAGCAGTGAAACCATCGCAATATATTTTGGTCTCCAAACTAAAACACAAGAAAAGCTGTCATCATCGTTTTCTTATACGTCGTTCCCATGTCACTTGTTCAATGTCACGTGTTTTCTTATGCAATCAGGAACCGTAAGCAATACCTACGGCAGATTGTGACCAAATGTTTGCTGAGTTTATCTCTGCCACCAATGTTGCACTGTTTTCACTTGTGACACTGAGTTATTCTTAACTTATTTGAGTTGTCATAAAACGTGCGGTATCTTCCCCAGCATAAGTAACTCTGTATACCCGACCACCTGTGCTGTTTCATTTGGCTTACTTTTGTCTAGATAACTGATGGCTTTACAAAACACCGCACTTGTTTTAATTACAATTTTGGTGAGGTGAATTAATAATAACTCAAACTAAGTTGAACTCAAGAAAATAGAGACTTATAGTTGAAAAGACACCTAAACGGCACTGTGAATGACGTTCAACGATTTGGTCTATTCGCTATATGTTTCGGCAGGCTACACTTAATTAAATCGCAAGGCTTGAAAAAGATGTTTTCTTTCCGCCCCCAATGAAGTTTAACAATTTAAAATTAATTAATTAGATGAGTTGTATTCAGCATTTGACGAGAAATATCATTTTAAAATTGGGATCAACCCTTACAGATAGTGCTGACATATATGTACCCGTTCGTTTATGTATTAGAACATCAGTCTTATTTATGTGAGGCAAAGCAGGATTGAGCAGTGAAGTGGAACCGCGGAAGGTGATTTACGCAGTTATTTTTCCTGTTTTCTCCTCGTAGATACTAATTACGGTTTCCGAAATAGTGGCGATCATCTAACCTCATTCTTACACATGCACCCAAAACTTCTGGCGAAGAAAGTAGTTTCTTGTCTAAAAATAGACTGGGCTAGAGGACTACAACTTTTGTCCGTTTATAATCTGTAGAGCGTAATAGATCCTACTGATACGATATAAGAATTTCAACATAATATAACTTGCGACAATCAAATGATCTGATACATCGTTCGGCGCTGTTTGTCGCCTACCTAAAGTTAACCAGCCCCAAAGGTAAGTATTATGTTATTTTTGAATTTTGTCATGCCAATTAAGTAAGAAAACTTACTGGAAAAAAAATGAAAAAATGTGAATTCTTATTTTTCTTCAGCCAACGTGTCACGAAGAATCTATCCGATCATGAGTACAGAAGAAGTCAAAGCCAAGTACCCGTTGCATTACTACGCTTGGCACAACAATCCAAGCGCTTTAGATGAACTTTTGCAGCAAAAAAAGGTAGGTTCGTTGATGCAGTTGGACTTTTGAATTTTAACTCGGCAGTATGATATCGAGGCTCTGGACCCACGTGGACGTACCCCTCTGATGTTGGCCGTCATATTAGACAATATGGAAGCAGCACGGGTGCTGCTTCGTCATAATGCAAACGCGTGCTTTGTTTCTAAGAATTTCTGGTCAGGTGAGATTTTTTACCTACATTTATAAACAATTACTTCATTTCTACCCTTTTTAGTTGCACAGGAAGCAGTTGCGACAGGAGATCCACAACTTCTAAAGATGGTTTTGGTTCATCGAGATGCACAGGTTGTTCGACATCAGGGAATAATAATGACGGATTTACTAAAGAAATTGCGCGAAACTCCTGATTTCTACATTGAAATGAAATGGGAATTTACTAGTTGGCGTAAGAATCTTGTTCTGGTTCATCAACTAACTGCTCATGTTTTTCTGCTTAAACTTTTATGCAGAATTCTGTTGCAATATTATAAAATTGTTGAAACTAAGGGAACCCTTTTTAAAAATTGGCAATAATTTTTCTGATACAATCAGGTGTCATTTTTCTTTTACAGTGCCTCTTGTTTCGCGCATGTGCCCTAGTGATGTTTGTCGAGTTTGGAAATCTGGGCCCAATGTTCGTATTGACACAAACTTGATCGGCTTCAATGGTTCTGCTTCATGGATCCGTGGCCATTTGAGCTATATATTCCGTGTTAATGGTACGTGCTAGTTATTTTATACTAAAGACTATCTCTTGAGTTTTTTTACTGGTGCTTTGTTTGTTCCGGTTTTCTTGAAAAAAACTGCAAAAGAGTGTTAAAACTTTATTTTATTAATGTTTATTGCATCATTTTAATTAAAATAACCACTGAACTCACATATAAGCATTTTTTACGCCTTGTTTATGGCCAAGTAAAGTAACTAATTGCTTTAATTTACTTCTGTTACGCCCCTAAAGGTTTTCTTTGTGAACACCGTTTCGCACATGTTTTTCAACTGAAGCTTGATCAACAATCGATGGTGTATTCTGGTTTGGTGAATCTATACTGGTTAGTAGTGGTTAATACGACCGTCCCATGAAAAAGCATACCAAATCAATTACTCAAATAGTATCCGTTACTGTACCCCCTTGATAACCGCTGGCCACGAAACCGATGTGAAGTATAAGGGTTTGTAGCGAAGGATAATCGATCAATAGGGAAAGAATAAGTTAGACAAACCACTACGAGCAGAATTCAGACGATATCGTGCTGCTAAGTGAAGATCCAGGTGAACTGCAAGCTTTTCTGGATAGTTTGAGTGCTAGTGTAACCATGTTCAGCATGAGCTCAAGTGAATACGAGATTTATGCACCAGTGTTGGGTGAGTTCGCGGCTTACAATGTCATTATTTTGACAGACATTCTGAATGTGTGATACTTTTTCCGGTACGGACACAATAACTCAGCAAAATAATATTTTGAGCATAACCTAAACTAAATCACAAGACCATTTTGTCGATAGCGCTTTTTGAACCTCTACAAAGCTTTCTCAATTATGGTGTAAAGTGTTTATAACTACTTAGTTTTTCATGCAGTAAAGAAGAGATACCTAAGATTTCGCGTCTTAGACATTGAGCAAGCGTAGAAGGTAGATTGACTATAGCATATAAGCTGTTTTAAATAGTATTATTCATAATCTGCCTATAACGTCAACACTGCGGGTGTGAGTCACGTTTGAATTTTGATGGAGTATGTTTTTAAACTGTTCAACATCATCAGTTTACGTTACATTATTGGTCGGATTTGTGTTTCTCGATTTTGAATTGATTTATAGTGGTACGACACTGACTTAAGTACCCGACCTAGTTGAAGTGTACCACTTGATACGCCTGCCACATGCATTTTTGACATATTTTTAGTTTGTCTCCATCCACCCAGTTAATTTTCTGTCATAGGATTGAGTCGCATAGAACGTGGATAATGAAAACAGACCCAGCATGATAAAGCTATCTTTTGTTTGAACCAAGCCTTCTATTATGCGATATGTTTTGCTATTTTAAATTTTATCTGATCTGTGCTTAACCAGACAACGAGGCAGTTGTGGATGAAGTCAATCATACGGACCGGACAATCTATCGCCATAACATTGCCTTAGGTAATCGTCCACACGAATCCGTTGGGTCTGCCGGAGCCGGAATCGGTGCGGGTGCTGGCGCAACGGCAGCTGCAGCGGCTCAGCTGTTTGTCCGTGAGCCATCTGATGCATTGATTGCCAACAAGTTAACTCAACCCATTTTTGTGACTTATTTGGATACTGACAAAATAGAATTTGAGAAGTGAGTATTCTCTCGATTTTAGGTATCCTTTGATAAATAGCGTAATACATTTGGACGGAACCGTTTTATTTGTGTTGTACTACCCGTTGAGAACCTTGGATTGGCAAAACTGGATAGTATAGTTGCATGCCTTAAATAGTGGCATTTGTTCATCTGTCGATTTTCTATATGCATCTAGCTTACCCTCATATTTATCTTGATGCTGTTCCCAGGTTTCATCGAAATTTGCTTTTTCCAACAAAATCAAAACTCCGAGATACAAGGTTGCTTGTTGTACACACTCAAATTAGGATAGGGTAATTTTACCTAGTGTTTCGGAATGAATCGGAATCTGTTCCATTACTTTGTTCTTTTATCCAAATGCGCAGCCTGAAGACAGCAACAAAAATCGTCGCATGAAGGTGCATGTCTATTGGTTGTAAAATCTTAGTTAAGCTGAATTATTTCATTGTTCTCACGTTTTGGAAAATGTATATATGCCTACGGAGATAAATGACATGCGGCTATTGTTGATCACGCTAGGGTAGGTTTTATTTCTATCGGCAGGGTGATCTAATACCAGTGGACAGACTGGATTTTGTATTTTCAGCTTATTAAATTATGAACCTAACACTTTCGCATGGTGGATTTGGTCGCTGTCTTTTGGTCGCCATTTTGGATGAACAGATTCCAGGCATATTAGAATGCTAGAATCGGTGTGAATATCAAGGACATTGAGTAGATGCACGAATGCTACTGTTTACGCTACTCAATCAGTGTATCCAATCATCGACCATACCGATCAATAGACCAACACCTACAGAACGACGCTTATTCGTCGTTTTCCTTTGTGCACCGATTGATTACAGTCCGTCTGAAATAAAGAATTGACCTTACAATTATCCATGGGATATCATTCGGCGTCTAATAAGTAATATCAACCAGACAAGAACCATGAGATTAATGAAATCAAAAGATCCTTTACTCTTAGTGGCATTTAGTGTCCGTACACTATCAGATCGGTCAACAAGCCGCCTTGAATACAGTTCTCTGTTTAGTACGGGTCAACAGCTATAGAATGAAGCGTCCGTGCTTATTTGGCATGTACGTATATCCACCTTCCGAACGCAGTGTACCTAAATGGAGGATAGATTCCGCAGGGATGTTTCTCAATTGCTCCAAAGAGTCGGTTTGGCGAGCATCGTAGTAGTCGATGGAGACTGCGATGTTCAAGTGGGATCCCTGGACGAACCAGAAAGGTGACCAGGTGATCAACACGCAATACTAGTCAACCAAAGGGACACCGGAGATCGCCTACTTTATGTGCGTGCAGCTGTGTCAGCTCATCAAAATCCTAAGGATTGAATGCTAGAAGTGGTTTGATAGAGAAGTGTAAAGAGATGGAGAAGGCTGCGGCTATCAGTAATAGTCGCAACCTTTTTCGTTTAATTCGGAGTGTGGTCTCAAGGAAAGTAAATGTAAGTGAGGTGATTTACGAGTCTGACGCCACACATAATCATATTCACCAACGCCGTCTTAAACGATGGGCTGAACATCTTAGAAATCAGTGCAAAGGGCCCCCCTCGACACTAGAACCTCCTTTTGGGTAAGAGCTGACAGTTGATATCAGTCCTCCATCGAAAACGAGTTTCAACAGGGAAATAAGTCGCCTCAAAAGGTATAAGGTTTCCGGCCAAGAATGATTGTCCCCGTCGGCTTTTAAGGATGAAGACTCGGCCCTAGATGATGGTCGTCGATGGCTAGAAACACTGATTGATATGGCTGGGTGTCGCAAGCAGTGGCGCTCGTGCATCCACTCGTAATTCTTTAAACACCATTCGATTTGAATTCTCCATCTTCCGCTTGAATTTGCTTTCAACATTCTAATCTTCATTCTGCTCTTTTATCCAAATGGGCAGCCAAAAGACAGTAACGAAAACCGGCGCATGAAGGTGCATGATTAATGGTTGTAAAAACTGAACTAAACTGAACTGCTCGGCCTTCGTTTTAGCATTTAGTATGTGATTCAATTATCCTACCGCTTTAGAATAAAGATGANNAGATGATGGGTCCTCTTGTGAAAAATTCAGAGGAATTGGTTTGATAAACCTTGCCTCTACAATGCTCGTTGGTATATTATTCCATCGACTGTCTGCTTCACGTAAAGAACGTATGCGTGGAAACCAGCCTGGTTTTAGGCCCGATCAAGACTGTATCGACCACATTTTCAACCTTCACCAAATTTTGGAACACCGGTATTCCTTTAAACCCACAATTTTTATCTTCCAACGTTGCCACTTCCTCAAGGTTGCTCAAAATGTTTACTTAAATTTTGCGATCTTTTTTTACCAAAAGTCGAGTTCGAGCTTCTGGCACTTTTTCGCTCGAGTTCACTACAGAAGGCGGTGTATTCTAGGGTTACCCTCTCTCTGCTTTCCAATTTTAGTTCTTCATAGATTTGGTTATAGGACTAGCTCTATAATCATGCGATAGATTTATACCCAGGTG